AAGAGGCACAGGGACACCACACTAGGTGGATCAGCCTACTTAACAGGCACAAATCTGCAGCCAAAAATGATCTCAAAGAAGATTGCTGGGTTCAGGAACAACAGCCATCAGGGCAAAGCCCAGAGCATCTGCACCACAGCCCATCTAGGGGCCACACCTATGTGAATCCCAGAGTGTAGAGTAAATCCTACCACCTTCCACAGAGCCATCACATTCCCAGGATGGTAAATGTGACTATAATATCATCAGCCAAATTCAGAAGCTTTCCTGGAAGAACAAAATACCAGAAACTTGATCCAAGACAAAGCTTGAACCAATTTGGAGAAGCACAAATTGAAACTGAACCAAATCCTGATCATTTCCTATTTTTTAAAAAAATTTAAGCCAGTCAAGAAAATACTTCAATTTTCCATCCAAAAAATGGTTTAATCCAATTGACATTTTATTAAAACACTAAAACGTTCAGGAAAATAACTGAGCTCTCGACTAGTGTAGTGACAGCATGGTTTTTAGTGACGGTTCAGGTAGTGCCCACCCTGCATGTGGACTGTATCTCAGCTGTTCTCTTATCCTGTGAAGCAAGCAGGAAGGAGAGACAGAAGGTGCAAAGAGAGAACAGGACAGACCTTGCTAGCCCTATGACGGGTGGGAGAGTCACAGGACAGACCTCGCTAGCCCTATGACAGGTGGGAGAGTCACAGGCAGGCTCTTGGTTGGCCAAGTGCTAACAATGACCTAACACTGGACCCAGTGGCTTTGTTGTTTTGCCCCAGCCTAGGGGAAAGGATTGTGACAAAGAAAAATGAATGTCAGAAAGAAGCATCAAAAGAGGTCCAATATGTCAGGGCAGGGTGAGGGATGAAGAGGAAAAAAAGAGAGAGAGAGAAAAAAAAAAAGATGCATTTTTCTTCCCCATGATAGTCCTCCTTTCCCATTTATTTTCCTTCTTTTCCCTATAGTCTACTGTCTTCGTCATTATCTCCACTAAGGTATCTAAAGTTGCTAAATATGTTTTGGGGAGTTTTAGCACCATGCTGCCCATTCTCCCTCATCACTATCTTATAAAACATCTGATAAACTGGTTTGAGCTGGTACTAAAGCAAAAACAAAACATCCCCTACCCTGCCCAAAGTCCTATAAAAATTTTATAAAGCAATTGAACAAAAATATAAAATATTTCTAAGCTGAACCAATCTGATATTACATGTGGTTTAACACCCTCCCCTATTCCACCATGGGAAATTCACAAGTACTATTAATTTCTAAACAGATTTGGGTGAGTGGCATGTTGTTGTATTAGAGGTAGAATTTACAGCCTGCTCTCCACTTACATAGCTCATTGTTTTTCTTGAAACTTAAAAGGTTGCTTTTCACAAGAAATAAATGAAGCACAAACATGCATTTAATTACATGACCCAGATTTAATGTTCAAAGAAAATTTTCATAAGTTTACATTCTTGGGATAAAATAACATGAGATAAGAACAAATCATTTTCACTGTTTTGCAACTTATTACAATGCATCTCCAAGTGTTCTACCTTCTCACACCATCTTGCCTTTAAAGAGTTTTTCAAATTGCTTACACGGAATCAAATGAGATGTTATATAAAGGCAGAAAATTCTGTAGTGAATACACCACCAGTGTGAGGTGATATTTCAGCTCTTTATGAGCTAGAGAAACGTTGTTAGTTTTAATTTCGAGCTAGAAGGAGATCTCTTAGCTGGAAATTAAAAAAAAAAGGAAAGAATGCAACCAAAAAAAAAAAAGCAAAATGAAAAACACCAGGATTGGAGCATAAGATTTTAGGAAAGAGTAGGAAATGATGTTGTTGAACAAGGAAAAGATATCAGTTTAAATATGAGAAGGTATTTTGTGTGTGCTTTTCCAGAGCAAACTACTAAAATAAAATCCCACACAGCAAACTAAAAGAAAAATTAAAATAAACATTGAAGAAAAAAATTAACTGAGAAACTTGACAATTCACAAGTAGATAACAATAAATCACGTAGGTCAACAATATCTGTTGTTTTTATCCTAATAGCATTGTTCCAGCTGCCTCAAATGTCTTCTAGAACAACAAAGGGTATAAATAAATAAATTCATAAATAAATAAATAGAAAGGTAGCTTCCTCCTGCTAATTGCCATTGCAGAAGACAAGAGAAAAACCATAGCTTAAATTATGAACAGGAAACTTCCAGATAGGTTTTGGATAATTTAACTTCACTTTTAGTGGTTTGGGGTTTCTCAAAAATGTATTGCAGCACAGAAGTACTTGAGGTGCTTGTTAAAAGCAGATTTCTAGGCTTCACACCCAGAGGAACTGATTTAGAAGGTCAAGGATTCCAAGCATTCACTTTTTCAGCAGCTCCCTGGGAGATTATAAATGCATATGGTCCACAGTTTATACTATTCTGGAGAAAACTACTGCCTAAAATAAAGGGTCTGTCTCTCTACCATGGAGATTTTTTTTTCCCAGTAAGAAATATGTCTTAAAGCAGAAAGAAACCTTTAAATCTACTTTAGTCTTCTGAACCATCAACCTTATAACCTTAGGTAGCCAGTAAGTCATCCTAATGGAAATTATGTATATCTGTTTAATAGTCATCAAAATTGCTTTTACAGGTTTTCATCAAGCTGCATTGATTACAATGTAGCCACAAATGGTTGTGAATACACAACCATGCTTTAAGAAACTGTATAAAAATCCTTCACAAATGCTGCTTAAAATTTTGTTGAATTTGCCTTATGAGAAGTTTTAGGGATCTGCAAAGATTATGTATATTACTCATAAACATTAACTGTTTTATCTTTAAAGAAATTCTAATTTGCTCCTATTTCATTTACTACCAGAAACCCTCCTAGTATATTGCATAGGAGCTCCTCATGGGTTCCACTGACATCTGGAACCCATGACTGGAAATTTTCTCTATGACTCTTTTCCTTATCCCCTGCCTCCCTGTGTCTCTTTTTCTTTTTCAAGTTGAAGTCTCACTCTGTCACCCAGTCTGGAGTGTAGTGGCACATTCACGGCCACCACAGCCTCAACCCGCTGGGCTCAGGTGGTCCTCCTGCCTCAGCCTTCCAATAACCAATCCCATCCCCCTTAACCACATGTACATACATCCACTTTGTCAGTAAGATACACATTTTTTGTCTTTGCCTCCTAGCATTTGCAAATTGCTTTCATTCATTCCCAAAATGAGCATTTCTGAGGGAACACTATGTGTGAGGTGCTTAGAGAAGTGGAGAAACAGTTTCAGAAGCAATTACAATGCAAAATGGCATGTGCTACCAACAAAGGGATTGCTGACAACAGAGAATGTTTTTGGTTTCTTGGCAGCAAATTAAAAATAAAATGTTAGAGAGTTTAAAATGCTCTCTAACAACATAATAATATCTGAGAGAGCTGAAGTTGAGAAACACAACAGGAGTGGTTTCTGAAAGTAAATATTAGGGCCATTATGGTAGATCAACAATATATACATCTGATACATCACCAGTGTAGTCTAAGTCAGCTTTTCTCTAGCTTATATTGAAAGGCAAAGAACTGTGAGTTAGCAACCACCACTGACCTCATAAATCACAGAACTTCATGTCTGAGGCCTAGGCACAGAGAGGGAGGTTAGGCAGAACCTAGGCTCTAGCCAACCTCACTTTCTTCCTCATGGGAAAAATGACCATGGGGAAGAGATGCCAACAGTATTGAAAGTAAGTTTTCTAGGGTATTCTGATTAGTCCAGGCCTGAGAAAGGAAGAATATTTAAACCAGTGGGTGTTGGATTCAGACATGATCTGAAAGTGACTACTGGGGGCTTTCCAAATTCTGACTGCACTGCATGAAATCTTTTTTATATAAGACCTACTGGGAAAGCAGCAGAATGTCCAGTAGTACCGTATCAGCTAAAACTGACAACTCCTTTGTTTCTATTCTGGCTCATGGAGTTTCACACAAATACATTTCAGTAATTTTTCTATTTTCTAACACCATTTTCACATTAGAGCCAGAGGCAAAGAGGAAATCTCTTATCTATTAATTTTGAAGAAAACACTCTCCATTTCCAAAGGAAGACTGTTTATTTATTTGATAATTACTTAAACCTAAGAATGAGCTACTTTACTAGAGGTATGCTTTTATAACATGCCCCTACTTTATTCTTGAAGTTGATCTTTTTACTTTTTTTAAACAAGTTTAATTCAGTATGCATTCCTTGCACACCAACTTTATACCAGGTATGGGCAACCACAGGCATTGAACAAGGAATAAAATGTAGTCCTGTCTACAAGAACTCTTGGCACCTTCAGGGACAATAGGAATTAGACATCCTAGCACAGCGTGACGAGTGTCATTCTGGGTGGGCATAGTGTTTCAGGGGCACCATAGAGCCTGGGATGCTGGAAAAAGCCTTCCCACAAACAAAAAGAAAGAGAAAGACCTTCTTAGCAAAGGAAGCATGAATAAAACTACAGGATGCAAAAGGAAAGGAGTCTTCAAAGGGCAAAGTGGATTCCGTTGGGCTGAGGCATAAGGGAGAGAGATATGGAGGATGAAATTGAGAAGCCAGGTGGCAGGTGGAGCAAAAGGACCTTATTGGCCTGTGAAGATAGTGTGAAGTTTATCTTCTAGGAAGGACAGTGTGGAGCCCTAAAGGTTTTCAAGGAGGGATGTCACAAGAGCCAATCTGTTTCCAAAAGATAAGTGTGGTTGCACACAGGATGATAGAGGAGACACAAGGAGGCAATGAGGAGGCATTGCAGGGTTCAAACAAGACACCGTACAGAACCTGAGTCGAGATGGGCCTACGCACTCTCACCGAGGCTCATAAACGTTTCCCCCCCTGTATGTTCTTTAGCTGTATCTGAGTTTTCCCCCTCTAATTACATACCCACAAGGATATATATTCTTTCCTACCCAAACTCTATCATCTGTGGTTCATAAAATAACATTCCATAAGATAGACAGTAGATATTTAGGCAAATACTTAAAAGATAATCTCTTACCTGAACAAAGCTGTTCCACTTTTGTGTAGTTTAAAGATACTATGTCATTAACCCAGGCAATGATGTCATGTCTGCTCATAGTCTCTTGGGTTATCGAGGTAGAATACACATTGACTGCCATTCCCCAACTAGAAAACAAACAAACAGGTTTATTTACCGACAAGGAAAAAATTAACTCAGAAACATAAAAGGAATCTTCAAGGTGTGGATCCCTGGCAGGGCTCTTGGGAATGGAAAAGTCCTGCTCTGGCTAAGCCCTCGAGCTTCTTTTTCTCTTTCTTTCTTCTACAAATTTGCCACAATATTATTAAATTTCATATATTTTTATGCAGTACTATTTACGTCTCTCCATAGATTCAAACATTTTTCAGGCTCTGAGGTTCCTAATTTATAATGCAATTTAGAGTCTTACTTTTGACCGTAAGCTTACGTGTGGTATTTAAAAGTTCCCAGGTCAATAACAGTGTACATCACAGTAATACTTTGGCTTTATATGTTACAAGAACTTACAAATGTCAGTGTTTTGGAGTTTGGCCATTTTAGTATTATATAATGATAAAGGATTTGTTTTAACATTTAAACCCAGATGAAACTTGGCAATTTTACTTATTTTGTGGTATATGTGTATATGTATTATGTGTACATATTATATATAAGCGTTAACTTTTATTTTGGAAATTTTTAAATGCATGCAAAAAGAGAGAGAACAGAATAACCAATCAGTTGAGTTCACTCCTTGGCTTCAACAATTATCAATACTTGACCAGTCTTGTTTCATTTATGCTACCATCAATTACCCTTCTGTCAACCCACCCAGCCTTCCAAGTCAGATTATTTTGGAGTAAGTACCAAGCTTCACATCATTTCACCTATAAATGTTTCAGTGTGCCTCGGAAAAACATAAAAAAATTACCAAACCATAATATTATCACACCTAAAAATGAAAATAATGACAATATCAAATATGCATTTCAGTGTCTTATAATTTTGCTTCAGCTTGTTTGAATCTGGATTCAGAGTTCATACATTGTGATTCTCTGGTACATTCTTTAAATGTCTTTACAGGTGTCTTCTGTGTTTCTAATCTTTCCTTGTAATTTTTATTTTTATTGTCATTGAAGGAAATTGACAGTCTGGTAGAGTTTCCATAATCTGAATTTTCTCACTGTATTCCACTCGTGTGGTTTAACATGTTCTTCTGTCCTTTGCATTCCTATAAACTGGTAACCACCTCTAGAGACTTGATCTGATTCAAGTCCTAATGGGGGCGTCTTGTGCAAGACTACATCATGCTGTTTTTAAACTTCCCTCTGGAGGCACATTATGTCTGACTGATTCCTTCTGTGATATTGTTAGCCACTGATATTTTCCCAGATCCAATAATTCATTAGAAACTTAAAAGTGTTATTCTATTATTCATTCTTGATTTATTAGCTGGAATAATTCTACAAAGAGAAATTTCCCTCTGAGGTACCCGGAGATATAGATCATATAGGCAAGGCAGGAGAAATGGCTGACCCCCTTTTATTTACCAGTTTTCAAAACAAGGAATAGTTTTCTGATATCCTCCAAGCAAGGCCAAATGACACTTGTTTTTATTCTTTGAAGTATAATTATGAACTCAAGGACTTAAACATATGTGATATGTTTCAATTCACTGTAGTTATACCATTACTGATATAAGCATGACTCTAGGTTCTTTTCATAAGGTCCTAGTAGTTTTGATAAGCTCCTTGTTTTCTGGTAAAACAAAATGTCCCAGACTCAGCTTGTAAATTTATTGTCTCTGACCTAAATATAGTCACTTTTCCAAAAGCTCCTGATTCCTTCTCATGGCAAATGGCATTTAGAGATCTAGAAGTAATAATTTTAAGAATGACTATATATGAGAGCAAAATCTATATCATTTATAGGTTTTATTTAAAAATCTATGTATTTATGAAACAGTTGTACTTGGAGTTCTCATTTACTGTCATTAAAGCAATAAAAATCTTTCTACTTCAAAGTGCAATAGGAAGATTTTATTTATAAATAAATATAAAAATAAGTAAATAAATACATTTTCATCTACTCATCCCCAGAAGCACCCTTATCTCTAAATTATCTTCTCCTGGAGAACTGAAAAAGATTTCACAGCATTGGAATCTCAGATAATATGACCACAATTACTGCTTTCTATGTCATTATTACATTTAAAAATTTTTGATTAGTAATTTCCACTGTTTTCTTTAGCCTATCATTTATTAAACAAAATAATTTGCTTTGAAACATTTTTTTATCACCTACATAAATTATACAAAATCTTAATAAGGATAAATAATTCAACATTTAAAAGATTTCAGACTGTTTGATGTATTTTCATATACCAGTATAACTTCTGGCAGCTGATGTGCTTTTCCAGTGGTTTCTTCTTCTGACAGTAATGGAAAGCTTTTGCACTATCAGCCAATGTATTGATGGTGGACACACTGTGGAGGCCCGGAGTTATGCTAGAAGGCACCAAACCAAACTGAGACACAATTTTTGCCGCAGTTGATTTAAAAACAAAACTAAACACAAAGCTGGAAGACACAAACAGATGTGTGTTTTAGAAAAAATCCACATACAAGTGAGTTTAAAAAAAAAAAGTTCTGTGGTTACATTAGAAAAAAAGAAATATACAACAAAAGGACACGTAGAAAAATTATAACAACTTTTTAAAAATCCTTAAGAATAAGGAAGTGAGTCATTTGTGGCAGTTTGTCAATGAATCACACTTTCCTGCAGGTCTTTGTTGATAACATTCACCTAAGGACAACAATCTTCCTTTCATAATCTAAACAGACATTCAGCACATTAAGTCAAGTGAAGGTACTATCTGCCTTTAAGAAGCTCATTAAGATGACCAGGTGAACAATGAAAATAGGTCTGTGCTTTGGAAAAACTCTGGATAATTAGTTACTGGACTCACCACTCAAAGATCCACCACATTCCCTTCTCTAGCCAACACAGCAGCAGTCCCGGAAAGCTGCAGCAGGAGCAACCATGCATTCAGGGACTTGTGGGAAAACAAGGTTAGAGGACAGACCAAGAGTAAGGGTGAACCAGTGAAGGTGAGAAATTTTTTTCTTACATTTCCTTAAATAAATAGTCTTAAATATCCACTTCAAACGAATAACAATGGAATCAGTAGAGTTAATTTCCATTTACCATCAACGCTGACTGTAATATTCTTATAATCTATCTTCCTTTTCCAAATTTCAGCAAAATATTTGTGAATTCATTTCCCTCTGTGGCTGACATTGGCTTCCTTTGTTCAAACATGCCAGCTCTTCTGATCTGAGGCTTGAGCACTCTGGGTCTGGACTCACTTTCCCCAGAAGAGGACCTGTCCTTCTGAATTCCAGCAAGTCAGGTGGTGATCAAAGTGGAAAAAGAATTCTGTTCCTGTGCTGCATCCACCCTTTTCTCTTCCCAGTTCCTTCAGCTCCCTCTTTTTCTACAGATGCACTTTCAGTATAGTAACACCTAAATAATCCAAATGGCTAAAAAGTTCACAGAAGAATATATTTTTCCAAATGTTAAACTGAGATGAGAGAGTATTAAATACTCCCTAGGCTTTCCATGAACACATTCTAAAATCCTAAGGTTGTCATGATTTCTGGGGTCTCAATCTATATAATATAAAGGTAAAAGTACCTGTGCCTGCCTAGTCTGTAGAAATGCTGTATGGAAAACAAAGGAATTGTTATATCATTTTAGAGTTACAGTGATTCTGTTGATCCTTGAAAGAATCTTGTGAGGAAAGCAGGATAGGAATTATACTCTTCCCTTACAAATGTGGACACACACTTCAATCTAGGATTCCTAGTACTTGGGAATATTAGCAAATACGTGAAAAACCTATGGTAGGAATTATACAATTCAAAATACTAATTTTTTAATTCACTGAGTAATTTCCAAAGACTCAGCTAAGAAAAAGTAAATGCCTATGAGAGGTAAGGTCATACTGAATACTACAGAGGAAGGAGCAACGCACTATTCAGGGCCTACACTAATGTGTGGATCTTCAGCATATCTTCCATATGAAAACAACCATTTATTCTTAGAAGACCTGCCACATGGTCTCTGGGACAAGCAATTCTCTCTGTGCCATCCTTGCAAAAGAAGTCAAAGCACTGTCCTCCACTTTGTGGCTCTCAAGCAGAACCTTAACCAGATCACTATGTGCTTACCACCTGGTCAGTGCAACCGCACAGATAGTAAGTGATATGGGAGGCTCTGACATTCTTTTCTGTGGTGAAGTCAAGAACCCAGGAGCAACAAACCACACCCTACTCTGCACCAGCATTACAGTGCCCAGATCACCAGATTTTAATATTGTATTTAAATTTTATTTTAAGATAAACTTGCATTCATTGCTCCTACTTGAAAATAAGCTAATAATCAAAATATATATTCTGTTTCTGTGAATATTGGAATGTCTTTCTGGGAAGGTGTCAGTATTTGATTTTTTAACAGTTTTCTGTTTGTTTGTTTTCAAATAAGAGAAAGACAGACAAACAAACAAACCAACCCTCAAATCTCTTCAGACCTCCAGCAGGCAAAGGCAAAGTCAGATTCTGGCTTGCCCTTGGATAGTAACCACTGATACATATGACTTCAGAAAAAGGACAGCTTCAGGCTAAGGGACAATGTGTGGATTTTGTTCAGTTTCATCTTTTGTTCAGTGTTTGATGTTGATGTTGTGTGGAGAGGTACAGTAAGGTTATGATTTGCAGCAGTGACTGAGGCAGACAAATTAGACATTGCCTTTCTGCTTACTAAAACAAATGGAACTTCATGTGAGTCAATGAGACTTGAGTTAGCCTACTGAGCAAAGCCTGGATAAAGACTTGGCAAGCCCCAAACCGTGGAAACTGAAATATGAATTCTACCACCTTACCAGTCCTGGGCTCAAAACCCAGTTATGAAATATTCTACTATTTTGTCCAAGAATAAATCTGGCAAGGTTTGTGAGTTATTCCAGAGGAGGAGTGTCTCTTCAAACTTAGACATATTTGTAAAATATCATAGCTAACATTATGTGTTCACTGAAATCATTTCTTATGTAATTCATTTTGTCTTTGCCCCACCCCACCCCACCCCT